ATATATATACATAAATTTCTGTCTATTTATGTGTACGTATATGAATTTATAAATGGAACAATATATTATGAATAAAGAGATATATAGATGTAGATACAAATATAAACACCTACAAAAAATCTATGATACAACAAGCAAAATGAAATGGACCAGGCACCAACAACAGTCACGTGACATGACGTCATAAGCAGGTTAGTCATGTTCCCCGATAATTCATTCGTCTGTCAGAGTAATCTTTTATTCTCTTTCTCTTTTTGTTCCCTGTACGAGAATGCGAGAAAGGAGGAAAGAGAAGGTAAGGAAGAGAGAGAGAGAGAGAGAAGAGAGAGAGGAGAGGAGAGAGAGAGAGAGAGAGAGAGAGAGAGAGAGAGAGAGAGAGAGAGGAGAGAGAGAGAGAGAGAGAGAGGGGGGAGAGACGAGGGAGAGGACAAAGGGAGAGAACGGGAGAGAGAGGAGAGAGGAGAGAGAAGAGAGAGAGAAGAGAGAGAGAGAGAGAGAGAGAGAGAAGAGAGAGAGAGAGAGAGGAGAGAGAGAGAGAGAGAGAGAGAGAGAGAGAGAGAGAGAGAAAAGAGAGAGAGAGAGAGAGAGAGAAGAGAGAAGAGAGGAGAGAGAAAAAAAGAAAAGAAAAAATGAGAACAACTGATAAAAAGAAAAGAGAGAACGACAAATACAAGAAAGATACACAAACAAACAAAACAAAAAAGAAAAGCTATAATAAAACCCAACCTAAACAAAACAAAAAACGAAAGAAACAAATACCCCCAAAAAAGTAAAAAGAAAAAGAAAAATATGTCAAAAGGCAGTAAATCAGAGCCTTCTCCATATACCCTTCCGTCCCTAAGAAAAAAAAAGTAAATAAAAAAGAAAGAAGAAAAAAAACAGTAAATCCAAACCTTCCCTCTCTCCCCCCCCCACCCATGCCCTACCCCAACCCACCTCGAAGTCCTTCTTGGCACGCCTCTCCCTCCCCCCCCCATGCCCTTCCCCAACCACCTCGAAGTCTTTGGCACGCTTCTCCCCCCCCCCCCCATACCCTCCCCCAACCCACCTCGAAGTCCTCTTGGGCACGCCTCTCCCTCCCCCCCATACCCTACCCCAACCCACCTCGAAGTCCTTCTTGGGCACGCCTCTCCCCCCTCCCCCCTATACCCTACCCCAACCCACCTCGACTCCTTCTTGGCACGCCTCTCCCCCTCCCCCCATGCCCTCCCCCAACCCACCTCAAAGTCCTTCTTGGACACGCCCTCTCCCCCCCCCCCCCATACCCTACCTCTACCCACCTCGAAGTCCTTCTTGGGCACGCTTCTCCCCCCCCTCCCCCCACCCCATGCCCCCCCTACCCCCCATACCCTACCCCTACCCACCTCGAAGTCCTTCTTGGGCACGCCTCTCCGCTTGTGGTTGAGGGCAGTAGCGTTCAGCATTTCCACCAGGCAGGTCACATCGTCCAAGTTGTCCACGAGACCCGTAATGGCCAACATCACCTGGAGAAAAAAGAAAAAAATAGGCCCAAAAAATGCGTGGAATTGAGGCGTAACCTAATCGTGTAATTGTGTAATTGCCAATTATGGAAAACAGTCGTTGGGACTTTGTTATTCATTGGGATATAGGAGATAGGACCTTCGTGTTATGAACCGAATGAATTGTCTGTGTAGACGTGTCTTCATTCTTTTTCACATACTTGATTAAAGAGAATTTGATATTAATTTGATCATCTCTGCCTTTGTTGCGAAAACTAACAAGGCAGGATGCTTTTGATGAGAAATGTAAGCACAGTATGTGTACGTTTCAGTTTTTCTTCTGAACTGTACATGCAAATATTTATGCACATACACACGAGTAAATGCGCAATTCAGTAAGCAATTATATTCCAAAAATTGTAAAGTAACTATAAATTTTGATGGAGAGACAAAGCAAGTGCAAAATAACGGTGCATAAAACAATATATTCATTGTAAAGTCGAGAGGATAATGTTTCATAATTCACATATGTGTATTAAAAAAAAAAAAAAATACTGCCTTGTTTCTTGCATATAAAACCAGACATTTTCTACCAATCTAGAAAAATAATAATAAAATTTCGATTATTTATGAATGCGAGACTCAGAAGGAAAACAAAAGCACATCGGAATAAATATAAACACACGCAGGCAGTCTAAACACACGCGGTGACGCTTCCACACATAACAACATATCGAGTTACATTTGAACCACGACAATGTTGCGGCGGCCATGGGAGGAAAAAAGAATAAAATAAAAAAGAATACAAGACAGGGTTCTTTGTTGTAGTAAGACAAGGAGCGCTCTTGTCAAGGGCCGAGGAGTGCGCCATTCACGAGGAAAATGCGAAATTTATTTTTGTTCTTTCTTTTGTGTTGCATTCGTCTCCTGTTTTTTATTTTTGTGTTGCATTTATCTCCTGTTGTTGTTGTTGTTTTTCTTTGTGTTGCATTTATCTCCTTTGTTGTTGTTTTTTTCTTTCGTGTTGTTATCTCTGTTGTGTTGTTATTTATCCCGTTCTCTCTTTGTGTTGCATTATCTCCTTGCTTTATCTCCTGTTTTTTCATTTATCTCCTGTTTTTTTTCATTTATCTTTTTTTCTTTTGCGTTGCATTTATCTCCTGTTCTCTCTTTTGTGTTGCATTTATCCCCTGTTTTTTCTTTTGTTTTGCATTTATCTCCTGTTTGTGTGTGTGTGTGTGTGTTGCATTTATCTCCTGTTTTTTTTTTATCCCCTGTTTTTTTCTTTTGTGTTGCATTTATCTCCTGTTCTTTCTTTGTGCTGCATTTACCCCGTTTTTTTTCTTTTGTGTGCATTTACCTCCCGTTTTTTTCTTTTGTGTTGCATTTACCCCCGTTTTTTTCTTTGTGTGTGTGTGTGTGTTGCATTTATCTCCTTTTTTTTGCATTTATCCCCTGTTTTTTCTTTTGTTTTGCATTTATCTCCTGTTCTCTCTTTTGTGTTGCATTTACCTCCCGTTTTTTCTTTTGTGTTGCATTTACCTCCTGTTTTTTCTTTTGTGTTGCACTTATCTCCTGTTTTTTTTCTTCTTCTTTTTTTCATTTGTGTTGCATTTATCTCCTGTTCTCTCTTTTGTGTTGCATTTATCTCCCGTTTTTTTCTTTCGTGTTGCATTTATCTCCTGTTTTTTTCTTTCGTATTGCATTTATCTCCTCCTTACCGTAGATGCGTGGGCAGCAAGGCGTTTATTCGTCTTCAGTTCCTCTTCTGTCTTGTCGGCGAAACCCTTAAACCTGGTCTGGAGTTCAGGCTCGGCGCGGAACAGTCTGGAAGGAACGAGTGACCGTTACGGATTTGAAATTCGCCCGCGGTTTATTAGCCTATATCACCAAACCACTGTTCTATATTACCAAACCACTGTTCTATATTACCAAACCACTGTTCCACTGTTCTATATCACCAAACTACTGATTATTACGCGTTTTGTGAGAAGAAAAAAAGTTTATAATTATAAGCCTATATTATCAAACCACCAAACCACTGTTATTACGCGTTTTGTGAGAAGAAAAAAGGTTTATAAGCCTATATTACCAAACCACTGTTATTACGCGTTTTGTGAGAAGAAAAAAGGTTTATAAGCCTATATTACCAAACCACTAACCACTGTTATTACGCGTTTTGGGAGAAGAAAAAAAGGTTTATAAGCCTATATCACCAAACCACTGTTATTACGCGTTTTGTGAGAAGAAAACAAGGTTTATAAGCCTATATTGCCAAACCACTGTTATTACGTGTTTTGTGAGAAGAAAAAAGGTTTATAAGCCTATATTACCAAACCACTTATTTCGCGTTTTGTGAGAAGAAAAAAGGTTATAACCATATTACCAAACCACTTATTTCGCGTTTTGTGAGAAGAAAAGAGGTTTATAAGCCTATATTACCAAACCACTGTTATTACGCGTTTGTGAGAACAAAAAAAGGTTTATAAGCCTATATTACCAAACCACTGTTATTACGCGTTTTGCGAGAAGAAAAAAAGGTTTATAAGCCTATATTACCAAACCACTGTTATTACGCGTTTTGTGAGAAGAAAAAAGGTTTATAAGCCTATATTACCAAACCACCAAACCACTGTTATTACGCGTTTTGTGAGAAGAAAAAAGGTTTATAAGCCTATATTACCAAACCACTGTTATTACGTGTTTTGTGAGAAGTAAAAAAGGTTTATAAGCCTATATTACCAAACCACTGTTATTTCGCGTTTTGAGAAAAAAAGGTTTATAAGCCTATATTATCAAACCACTGTTATTACGTGTTTTGCGAGAAGAAAAAAGGTTTATAAGCCTATATTACCAAACCACTGTTATTACGCGTTTTATGAGAGAAGAAGATTATAGCCTATATTACCAAACCAACTTATTACGCTTTTGTGAGAAGAAAAAGGCTTATAAGCCTATATACCAAACCACTGTTATTACGCGTTTTGTGAGAAGAAAAAAGGTTTATAGGCCTATATTACCAAACCTCTGTTATTACGAGTTTTGCGAGATTACCAAATCACTGATATTACGCGTTTTGCAAGAAGAAAAAAAGGTTTATAAGCCTATATTACCAACCACTGTTATTACGCGTTTTTTATGAGAAGAAGAAGAAGAAAAAAAAAAAAAAAAAAAAAAAAAAAAAAATATATATATATATATATATATATATATATTATATATATATGGATCAAAATTACGTATTAATTTCAAAACCACCAGATCTTTGCATTACCTAGGAGAATAATGAAAAAAAAAAAAAAAAAAAAAAAAAAAACACAAATCGATATGATCCTTCCACGTGGCTAATCAAAAACAAAAATAGACGCGCAGGACTCACGTTAAAAAGAAATTGATCCCGTGGACTTTCATGTCGGGTCGAACCATGTCCCAGGTACGGACCATGGCGGTTCGGTGGCGCAAGGTCAGGCCTGTGGTGGGGTCAGCCACGTCGCCCTCAGGACCCAGGTCACCGTCTTCTGCGTACTGGACGCTGCTCACCTGATAGATAGGTCATAGGGCGTGGCATTGACTTTGAGCTTGGGTTTGGGGAAATATGGTTTAGTTAGATTGCTGTTAATGAGATATATTGATCAGTTGATCAGTCAGAATGGAGTAGATCTATGTAGAATATTAGTGATTCGTTTTCTGGTATTGAAAGAGAGAGAGACAGACAGACATAGATAGATAGAAAGACAGTGAAGAGATATAGAAAGACAAAGACAGAAACTTTTGGGTGATCAGTCGATATTTCAGAATGGGGTAGATCTATGTAAAATATTAGTGATTCGTTGGTTTTCTTGGTATTGAAAGCGAAAGAGAGAGAGAGAGGCAGTCAGACTGAGACAGAAGAACAGAAATAGAGATAGAGAAAGACAAAGACAGAAACTTTTGGGGGATCTGTCGATATTTCAGAATGGGTAGATCTATGTAAAATATTAGTGATTTGTTTTCTTGGTATTGAAAGAGAGAGAGAGAGAGAGAGACAGACATAGATAGATAGAAAGACAGAGATAGAGATATAGAAAGACAAAGACAGAAACTTTTGGGGGATCAGTCGATTTTCAAAATGGGGTGAATCTTTGTGAAATATTAGTGATTCGTTGGTTTTCTTGGTAGTGAAAGAGAGAGAGGGGCAGACAGACAGGCAGAGATAGAGATAGAGAAAGACAAAAGACAGAAACTTTTGGGTGATCAATCGATATTTCTGAATTGGGTAGATCTATGTAAAATATTAGTACTTTGTTGGTTTACTTGGTATTGAAGGAGAGAGAGAGGCAGACAGACAGACAGAGATAGAGAAAGACAAATACAAAAAAAAATTGGATGATCAGTCGATATTTCAGAATGGGGTAGATCTATGTAAAATATTAGTACTTTGTTGGTTTTCTTGGCATTGAAAGAGAGAGAGAGACAGCCAGAAAGACAGAGATAGAGAAAGACAAAGACAGAAACTTTTGGGTGATCAGTCATTTCAGAATGGGGTAGATCTATGTAAAATATTAGTGATTCGTTGGTTTTCTTGGTACTGAAAGAGAGAGAGAGAAAAGATAGACAGACAGACAGAGATAGATATAGAGAAAGACAAAGACAGAAACTTTGGGGGATCTGTCGATATTTCAGAATGGGGTAGATCTATGTAAAATATTTAGTGATACGTTGGTTTTCTTAGTATTGAAAGAGAGATAGAAAGACAGAGATAGAGAAAGACAAAACTTTTGGATGATCAGACGATATTTCAGAATGAAGTAGATCTATGTAAAATATTAGTGATTCGTTGGTTTACTTGGTACAGAAAGAGAGAGAGAGAGAGAAAGACAGACAGACAGACAGAAATAGAGATAGAGAAAGACAAAGACAGAAACTTTTGGTGATCAGTCGATATTTCTGAATGGGTAGATCTATGTAAAATATTAGTACTTTGTTGGTTTACTTGGTATTGAAGGAGAGAGAGAGAGAGAGAGCCAGAAAGACATAGAAATAGACAAAGACAGAGAACATTATATACCGAGACAGAAAGAGAGAGAGAAAAAAAGAGAAAGAGAGACAGAAAGAGTGAAACCTCATTACCTGAGTCCCAGCAGTCCACCAACCCCACAGAAGACTCCACATTGCTCCCATCGTCTCCCAGTGATGTCTCGGACCTCACACCTCACAATCTGGAAAAATAAAATATCCGTGTAAACGCAAGCAAGTGACTAGCAACGAAGTCAAGTGAAAACTTTCGAAAATGAATGTCAAGCAACGAAGTCAAGTGAAAACTTTCGAAAATGAATGTCAAGATAGTTTTACACACTGACCATGTTTTCGAAGCCTGTTATCCACGTTAAGCTTATATAAAGTAGCATTCTGAGAGCGCATACCTCCGCCAGGGCAATAGGGTCACTTAGGGTGTCACACTAGCACTTTTTCCCGTCAATTTTTTTGAACATTTTCTGAAAATTTGTCCATTTTTGAGCGAATTGTCGATTTTCCAGTCAGACGATAATGATCGTTTCCGTCTGAAAACCTTAACGTCAACTTTTTTCCAACCAAGCATACTCAAAATCAACAGTTATATTCGAGAATGTTTGTATTTATGTTTAATAAAATTGTCAAAAAACGGACGGAAAAAGTGCTAGCGTGACACGGCCTTTATACAATGAAAAATATATACGCATCTGAAGAATTGCGTTAAAATTGCTTCTTTCTCAAGTACACTGGAAACGTCCGTAAACATAACCTCTTGGGCGATGATAATAATGGCAATGATAACATTTATAGATAATCAGAAGTATATAATTGTTTATTGCCTCGGTAATAGGTATAACTATTACTATTAACTATTATCAATTACCCCTATTATCATTAGCTATTATCCGTTGCCTAATACCTTTGACAATCGGAGTAATTGATACAATCGTTAAAATTAATCCTGAATTATTGTCATAGCAATTATTGTCATAGTAATAGGTATAACTATTACTATTAACTATTATCAGTTACCCCTATTATCATTAGCTATTATCCGTTGCCTAATAGCTTTGACAATCGGAGTAAATGATACAATCGTTAAAATTAATCCTGAATTATTGTCATAGTAATTATTGTCATAGTAATAGGTATAACTATTACTATTAACTATTATCAGTTACCCCTATTATCATTAGCCATTATCCGTTGCCCAATAGCTTTGGTAATGGAGTAATTGATACAATCGTTAAAATTAATCCTGAATTATTGTCATAGTAATTATTGTCATAGTAATAGATATAACTATTACTATTAACTATTATCAGTTACCCCTATTATCATTAGCTATTATCCGTTGCCTAATAGCTTTGACAATCGGAGTAATTGATACAATCGTTAAAATTAATCCTGAATTATTGTATTATTGTCATAGTAATAGGTATAACTATTTCTATTAACTATTATCTATTATCACAGCTATTATCCGTTGCCCAATAGCTTTGGCAATTGGAGTAATTGATACAATCGTTAAAATTAATCCTGGATCCTGATAACCACCGAAATTTAATGGCATCTGTGTTAGGTTAAGCCACGCGCCTCTGGTGAAAATCAATAAAAATGCTCATAACGTTTTGAGTTATCCTGCTAACCAACCAACAAACTAACCAACGCTACCTAAATCATAACCTCTTTGACGGAGGTCACAGAATCATCACATTTTATATATAATTCCTACGATGCGGTCAAATTCGTCCGGTCGATGGTGTGATAACCGAAGAAGCCGTTTTGTAGGATAATATATATATATATATATATATATATATTATATATATATATATATATATAATATATAGAGAGAGAGAGAGAGAGAGAGAGAGAGAGAGAGAGAGAGTTCAATTCAATTCAATTCATTCAATTCAATATATGTATGTATGCATGTATGCATATATATATATATATATATATAATATATATATATATATATATATATATATTATATGTGTGTGTGTGTGTGTGTGTGTGTGTGTGTGTGTGTGTGTGTGTGTGTGTGTGTGTGTGCACGTGTGTATACATACATAAATACATACATGCATATATATATATATATATATATATATATATTATAATATATATATATATACACACATATACACATATAACAACATATACACGTATACATAACATACAAGTCCTTCACTCTACAATTAAACCAAGTAAATATTCGTAAAGCAAAGAGAATGTAAACCCTGAACCGCATTCTCCCTTCCATCGCACGTAAATATACAAATGACTCCGACCCATTCATAAGGGCGGCTTGTGCACTCAATGGCGGGAAATTGGGAACGACTGAGTTACGGCTGCTGCCACAAAGGTATACGCGCTGGCTCTATAGACGCTGGCTGGCGCTGGCTGGCTCTGTAGAGGTGTTGCTCTATAGAGCTGGCTGGCTCTGTAGAGCTCTGTAGAGGTGTTGGCTCTATAGACGCTGGCTGGCTCTGTAGAGCTGTTGGCTCTATAGACGCTGGCTGGCTCCTGGCTCTATAGAGCTCTATAGACGTTGGCTGGCTCTATAGACGTTGGCTGGCTCTATAGACGTTGGCTGGCTCTATAGGGGTGCTGGGTTCTGTAGAGGTGTGGCTCTATAGACGGCTGGCTCTGTAGAGATGCTGGCTCTATGTGCTGGCTCAATAGAGGTGTTGGCTCTATAGAGGTGCTGGCTGGCTCTATATAGGTGTTGGCTCTATAGACGTTGGCTGGCTCTGTAGAGGTGCTGGCTCTATAGGGGTGCTGGTTCTGTTGAGGTGTCTCTATAGGCGCTGATTGGCTCAATAGAGGTGCTGGCTCTATAAATGTATTGGCTCTATAGACGCTGACTGGCTCTATAGACACATCAAAGATACGTTCATGAAACACATGTAGATACACACGCACATTTATCCATATACGCACACAACCAAAAAAGTCTAGTGCTCCAATATAATTATCACTTTCTAAAAAGAGTTGATTTTTTTCGAAAATAAGCTTAAAAGGGAGAGGAGGAGAAGGAGGAAGAAGGGGAGAAGGAGGAGGAAGGGTAAGAAGGGGGAGGAGGAGGAGAAGGAGAGAAGAAGAGGAAGAAGAACGAAGGACTAAGAAAAGAAAGAGGACGATGAGGAAGAAGATGTAGTGGAAGAACGAGTAGAAGAGCGAGGACGAAGCGAGGAAAAGAAAAGAACGAAAAAGGAAATAGGAAGAAAGAGAAGAAAGGATAAAGAGGAAACAAGAGAGGAAGGACAGGAGGAGAAGGAGAAAAGAGGAAGAAGAGGAGGATAAAGAATAAACAGGAAGAAAAGAAGGAGAAAAGAGGAAGAAAAGAAGGATAAAGAGGAAATAGGAAGAAGAGAAGGAGGAAACAGGGAGAAGAGAAGCAGGAGAAGGAGGAAACAGGAAGGAGGATAAAGAGGAAATAGGAAGAAGAGAAGGAGGAAACAGGAAGAAGGAGAAGGAGGATAAAGAAGAAACAGGAAGAATAGAAGGAGGATAAAGAAGAAACAGGAAGAAGATGAGGAGAAGGCCTGGGACAAGAAGACTAGCATGGACCCCTACCCTCGGCGGCCACAGCAGGGAGCTTTTATTCAATCACGTCAAACCAATCGAGTATTTCGGAGAATATCTTTGTTTTCAGCTGGAGGTCTTCACTTCAGCTGGAGGTCTTCATGTCAGTTGGTCTTCGTTTCAGCTGGTCTTCGTTTCAGCTGGTCTTCGTTTCAGCTGGTCTTCGTTTCAGCTGGTCTTCATTTCAGCTGGAGATCTTCATTTCAGCTGGTCTTAACTTCAGCTAGTATTCACTTCAGCTGGTCTTCACTTCAGTTGGATATCTTCATTTCAGCTGGATATCTTCTGATCAGCTGGTCTTCACTTCAGCTGGATATCTTTACATCTTTAGCGTGAATATTCTTTTTTCTCCATCATATTTTTGTGTTCAAGACATTTTTTATTTTATTATTATAATAATAATTATTATTCATTTATTTATTATTATCACTTTTTAAAAAGATTTCGGTTGAATCGGTAGATGCAATGATGCAATTGTTTTAGAAGATTATTCTTGTTTAAAAATGTGTTTATTGTGTCGGTAGAATATCTATGTTGCTGCAGAAGAATATCTTTATTTCTGTAGAATGCGTTTGTTTCAGCATAATGTCTATGTTTCAATAGAAAATAATTTTTTTCAGCAAGGTGTCTGTTTTATCAGAATATTTTTGTTTCAGTGACATGATTTTGATTCAGTAAACAAAACATGTTTCAGTAAAATGAATTTAATTCAGTAAACTAAACATGTTTCAGTAAAATGAATTCAATTCAGTAAACTAAAACATTCATGATTCAGTAAAACAATTAATTCAGTAAACTAACCAGTAAAATGTCAGTAAATAAAACATGTTTCAGTAAAATGAATTCAATTCAGTAAACTAAACATGTTTCAGTAAATGAATTTAATTCAGTAAACTAAACATGTTTCAGTAAAATGAATATAATTCAGTAAACTAAACATGTTTCAGTAAAATGAATTCAATTCAGTAAACTAAACATGTTTCAGTAAAATGAATTTAATTCAGTAAACTAAACATGTTTCAGTAAAATGAAATATAATTCAGTAAACTAACATGTTTTCAGTAAAATGAATTCAATTCAGTAAACTAACATAAAATTAATATAATTCAGTAAACTAAACATGTTTCAGTAAAATGAATTCAATTCAGTAAACTAAACATGTTTCAGTAAAATGAATTTAATTCAGTAAACTAACATGTTTCAGTAAAATGAATTAATTCAGTAAACTAACATGTTTCAGTAAAATTAATAATTCAGTAAACTAAACATGTTTCAGTAAAATGAATTCAATTCAGTAAACTAAACATGTTTCAGTAAAATGAATATAATTCAGTAAACTAAACATGTTTCAGTGAATTAATTCAGTAAACTAAACGTGTTTCAGTAAAATGTAAACTAAACATGTTTCAGTAAAATGAATTTAATTCAGTAAACTAAACATGTTTCAGTAAAATTAATTAATTCAGTAAACTAAACATGTTTCAGTAAAATGAATTCAATTCAGTAAACTAAACATGTTTCAGTAAATGAATTTAATTCAGTAAACTAAACATGTTTCAGTAAAATGAATATAATTCAGTAAACTAAACATGTTTCAGTAAAATGAATATAA